CAGGGGAATGAAGGGCTCTAAATTAACCGTCAACTTCCCCAGCCAGCAGCGGGGGTCTCCATTCTGTGTGAGAGGAATTGTTGAGTCCATCTCTGGCTTGGCTCGATGAAGAATGCTCACTGGACAGTTTAGGCCAGTGCATTCAACTCCTGCTCTGCTAGGCCATCTCTCTGTCCTCCTTGAGATTCCAGCACATGGGTGTCTACACAGCCACAAATGTGTACCCACGTCACATACAGCCACCACGTTACATGCAGTTAGTTCCCGGCTGCCCAGTGGAACGCTGAGTGCGGTTTTTTTTAAAGGTTGAGTAAAGCGTTTAACAAATGATGCAAAATCCTAAAGAGACTGAGTATTCTCTCCTGTTTCTAAATGATGGGCTCAAACTTTTAGTTTAGAAAATATGGTAACAAAATATCCAGGGGCACACCTGACTCACCATCAGTAAGACAGGTACCTCTTGCAGTGTCATTGTGATAATCATTTGGGAATTCTGTAATAAATTTATTTCTAAGACACTTTGCTAGATCTTAAGATGGTGTCTTTCACAGTGGATTAGAATCCATTTGAAGTCTTTCCAAGGAATAATTGGGAACAAGACGGAATACGTACTTTCCAAAAATGATGTGCTGCACACTTGGGAAATAAGGTAAGGTGCTCAAAATTTCCAGATAGAATGAGGCTAAAATAAATCCATAAAGTCTCAGGTCCATACCTCCATTTCTCTGTATCTCGCGAGTTTGTAGCCTTTTCTACAGAAGTTCTTTTTCAAAATATGATTCTTCTAGGGCACTAAATTTGTGCTCCCATTTACACTTCCATGTTGTAGACTTTGGTTTTAGGAAGGTTTATACAACACGATATTTAAATTGCATTTAGGGAAAAAGAAGAACTATTAATTAGTCAGTATGTTTAATCATTAAAACACTGAGATCTGATAATTCGTGTCCTATACCTCATGGTACATTAGGCAGTTTAACAAATAACCAATAATCATTTTCTTGCACACAGGTGAGATGGGATGGGAAGCAGAGTATTTTCTCTTAGTTTATTATGAATTATCTACTTCCTATACAGCATTTATTTCTGTTTCTTTGCTAACACCGTCCACATCCCCATGTTACTACGGAGAGGCCATGTGGCCTCTCGGAAATCCATACACAGCCTCAGGCTGCACAGCTAGTAGCAGACACGGAATTAGAATTTGGGTTTGCAGAAAACTCCAGACTCTTTTGAACATTTAAACTGATTCCTTATTAGCCGAGTTGCTACTGATTGCAAAAATGAAGAATGGTAAATCAAAAACTTAAAACACAGAAAAGGCAGGGGGCAGCATCCTATATGTTCCATACTGATTTCATTCCTTCCTGGAAGCTCCAGGAACCACAGCATCCCTGGTGATCCTAAGCATTTGAAGATGAACATGAAAAGCTCTCAGGCTGAAGGACTAACTTGGTCACCTAATCACTGCAACATGTTGTACATGGCAGCCTTTACTTCCCTCTGAGCCTGGGAACATGAGATTTAAAAGAGGAAAGACCTCTTATGCCTCTTACTGGAGTGGAAACATGAAAGAGGAGGGTTAGAAATAACACACACGCACATTCACTTGCAATTACTTCTCTTCCGGCTGAGCGCAAAGCCATGGGTCATAAGATATACTAGCTCTGTGGGCATTTCCAGGCATAACAACTTCCTCTCTGTTTATGGATCAGAGTCATAGAATAATTCTCTCAAGTTATGCATCTGTATATGTCTCCACAATTAGTCTTTTGGTGACAACCAGAGGTTTTTTTTCTGCCTTTAAATGATCATCAAAAACTTTGCTCTGAAGCCTCATCGTTGTGGTTTGCTAAATGGCCCACAGATCTTTTCTTTAGTTGCTTTCCTTTTCCTTATTGTACATGGCTCCCTCTTTTCTGTGGCAGTACTAAATTTACTAGCTGGGAGTCTCTGTTAAGTATCTGTGATTAAAGGGAATTACCAAAATGGGTTATATGCAGGTCTGCTCCAGAAGCCAAATTTATGAATGATCTCTGAGTTGTGGGACTGAGGTACCATTCGTATCTCAGGCTACCATCAAGAGCATTGTTTTCAGACAGGAAAAAAAAAAGTATTTCCAGTTCTACATTGATTAATTTATTCAACAAATAAGTAATGAATGCCTTCTAAGGGCCAGTAAATCTATGACTCCTGGAACATTCAGTCTAGTGTTTAAAGCAATCAATCAAACACACGCATACATACATGCACACATGCACACATGTGTGATTTGGGGAAATGCTGCACACTTATGATTATGCCCCAATGAGATGTATAGGAGCAAGTGGAAGCCAGGGAAAGGTCATGGCAAGGAGAAGCAAGAGATTGCTGGCAGAAAGAGTACATAGGAAAGTGGATGTGGAAGAGAGCACAAGTAACTGAAAGCACTTTAAAAGTGGAGCAAACCGGAAGTCAGATGCACAGGGGGGTGGTTCCAGAATGAAGCTGGCCAGGAATCCTGGCGTGGGGTAGCCAGGGCTTAGAAACTAAGGGAATGGTTTGTGCTTTGTCCCTGAAACTTGCCCTTGCTTCTGGGAAAAATAAGAGTTAAAATAGGCCTATGGCATGTACCCACATTCCCCTCAGGATACAGCTCTCCAAAGAAGAAGTGTCATAAAAGTCACCTTTGAAGACTGTCAAAAGCCTGGTTTCTTAGTTCCTGCTTCCAGATAGTACAAAGCACAGGCCTGCAACGGCTCCCTTGAGAAGCCATTTCTGGTGCGTCATGCTGACGCTTCCTGTCTCTGGACCAGCACTGAGGCTCAGGGTTCCCTCTGGAACACTGAGGAGTGTGTCAGAAAAGGCTGAAACTGAGAAGAAAGAGCACTTGAGAAATCAATTCACTCAGTGGTTCATTCATTCATTCATATTTATTTTGAAATAGGATATGCCAAACACCATTGCCAACCATGGTAATTTACAAGTGAACTGAATGGTAATTTACAAAATCTCTCTTCTCATAGAGCTTACATTCTAATCAAGAGAACAGATAATTGTGTTAGGTTGTGATAAGTTCTGGGAAGTAAATTAATTCAGGATACAGGGTTGGAGAAAGATGTGGGTGTAGTGGTCCTATTTTAAAGAGCATAGTCCAAAGTTATCCCTGAAGGGGTGATATTTACGCAGTCATCATAGGGAAGGGAGGAGGCCAGCCTGGAGCTATGGAGGGACAGTGTGTTGGGGGGAGGGTCAGTGCACTCCAAGATCTCAGCTGGTGACAAGCCTGGTGTGCTTTTGTGGAATAGTAGGAATGTCAACAAGGGTCAGAGAAAGAAAAGAATCTGAGGTCTGAGTTGGTACAGGAGGTAAGAGATCACAGCACAGATTTAGGTGTTGTGAGTGAGGTCCATGAGAGGGAAGAGGAAGTGGACCTCAGACTCTGCTGCTGGGAGAGGAAGCTCCAGGGTGATTGTAGCTCCTCCACCTAAAACTGTGTCCCTTTGGACAAGCCATGATGGCCTCTCCAGGGCTTAGTTTTCTCACCTGTTCTAGTAAGGATAGAACAGCCTAGGTTACATAGAGTGTGGCACAAATATCAAAAACCGGAAGCTAGCAGAATTCCTAGTTCAGTGTAAGAGTGGATATAGTTTAGCTATTTTTGTTAGTTTTGTGCTTTGATTAACAACAGACATGAATAATTGATGAGAAAAATGAATAAGAGCCTGAATGGAAAATTTGTTAGAAATGCCTTCTAGAGGAGGTAATTGGTTGATGGATGGATGAGGACATGTGTAATGGCAAAACACTAACAATGGAAAACATTTCATATCTATAGGACTTTGCTGTCATGGTTTATATCGATGGCTCCCAAGCCTCATGCCTTTGCATTATGCATTTGTGATTGGTTCTTTGTCTAGCGCTTGGATTAGGGGTGTGAGTGCTAGACTGGCCTAAGGGTGGAGCCAGGTTGTGATGTAATGGCAGGAAGAAGGCGTGTCTCTCTCTCTTTTGCCAGTTGGGCCACGGTGAACTGCGGGCTGCCATGCCAACCTGCTTTGGAGCCAAATGAGTATGGACTGAGACCTCCAAAAACTGTAAGAAATAAACCTTTCCTTTCCTAACTTTGGGCATCAGGTATTTTGTCTCAGCGATGAGTAAAAAGTAACTAAGACATTTGCGTAATAGAATCAGTGAATACTGATCTAGGGACAAAAAGGCATTTGACATCATTGTAAGTAAAAATTTTAAGTTAAAAAGCTCAAAATTTAGGGCAATTTATGGCAGCAATTCTGAATAATTTCATAGCAAATACAACAAAAGAAAAAGTCACTTCTAATTTCAATATACAGAGGAAATGATCAAAATTTTGATGTAAGTGCTTTATGCTTTTTATGAGACAAATTATAGTACACAAACTGTGTGGTTTTAAAAACTAGAACATTATTTTAATTAGTATTAGCATCATTTAGCATTTCACTAGAAGTATGTAACTATAGCATGATTGATAATGCAATGATAATTGTTCTGTAATGATTATTTATTATATTCAGTCTTTTGCCCATAATGTCCATAGTTCATACCAGCTGCTTTCCTTTTTTGCTTATTTCTACTAAACTAGAACTTCCTCACTTACAAGTGTAAGTTATTGAGAATGACACTGTTTGGTGACTTTGTCAGATAATTTCAGATATTTAGATAGATCATGTAATTTGACACTGTGGTTCCAAGAGGGCCAGATGACATCAACCATCGAAGTGACAGAGACTGAGCTTGTATGACGGGAAGGTACTGGGACAGGAGAGCAATGATCCCCAGGACACACAGTGGGAGATGTCATTAGACAGCAGAGCTCCTGGTCACAATAAGATTGAGAACATCCTAAAACAATATAGTCACTGCTCCTTTAATAATGGAGTGTCTTCCTTGCAGCTAGGTCACTAAATGAATTTGTTGCTAAGTGAGGAACTGTATATAGTTTTACATCATAATTTCAGAACAAAGAAATAGTCAAAGGAAACTCCAACTTGATGACTTTGCTTTTATTTGCATAACTTTCAGAGGCAGTGCTGTAACATATACCAGAATATAAATCTACCCTACTGTAGGGTACAGCACAATCAGCAAGAAATGTAGCAACGTACAGTGGAAGCCACCGTCAGGGCTCGCTGCCACTCATGTCCCTGCGTGGTAAGTTCCAATGTGAGTTGTAAGTCTGAGTGGGAGGTAGCAAACTTGCACAAGTGCACCTCAGTGATCAGTAAGCACATCTTAAATGAATGAATATCTGTGTGAGTCCAGCAGAGACTCTTAACTATAAGAAACAAGTAGATCAAAGGCAGGAATGAAGGTTAGAGGGGCTGTGGAGATGGTTCATAGAACCCGGCATCCCTCACAGCAAGAAGCACAGGCAGACGAAAGGGGATAGCAATCTATATACTAAAGAGAAGTGAAGGATAGCAAAGGGATGGTAGCTCCAAAGGCAACTATCCATTAAAAAGGCAGGAGCTGAACTTGATTTTGGACTGCAGATCATTAGCTATAAGAGAAGCCATATCTTCAAAAGGCCCCTGAAACATCATGACAAATGTATAAAGCAAAAATTCCCCCAATCTTTCCCAAATAAGGCCATTTGCTCATGTAAATATATCCCAGGCATAGAGGAATATTCAGATGTTTTGAAGCTCAAGCAGATGTCAAGACCAAGAGATTTAAAGCATCACTGTGCTTCCAAGCAGTTGAGGGTTCTTTTAATCCACTCAGATAGAAATCAGGAGATCTGCAAAGTACAGTTGTGCTACTAGCTGTGATGCCAAGAGAAGCTGCCAGAGAACTGGATGCTGGGAGTCAGCCACCACCATTCTTGTTTGTCTTCTGCTGGATGCTGTCTCTCACCCCTGCTGGTTGCTGCTGTCTCTCTCGCTGATCTTTGCTGGCTGGTAGTCTCTGGATCTCTTCAGAGTTAACAGCCTCTGATGCATCATCTTTCTTTTAAAGATCTGTCCAAACCAATCAGAATAAGAATCTGAGAATTCTAGAGTACCTTCTGAGCTCGCATTACCCAAGAAATAAATCATAAGCACATTAACAAGACCACCACAGCACCTCTTCATCTCAGCAGGACCTGTGCAGCCGCACACAAGGATCAGTACCCTGGAGGGAGCGCTGCTAAGTGGAGAAGTGTGAAGAGCAGGCTGTTTAGAAAGCCACTGAAGGCACGTGATCGGTCCAGGTGCAGACCTGCGATTAGCTCAAGTGCACTCAGGGTTCCAGGAGAGACACAGGTGTCACAGCAGGGGTTTAGTGAAGGGGTGGGGCATGGTGAGCTCTCTGACACCTGTTGAGTCTCTGGGGGAAAAATGGCAAGGCTGACACCATGAGATCTTTGGGAGGACCAGCTGTGTCTGACACAGCTATTCAGGGTATGGGAAGGCAAGGTGAGTGAGTAATGTGCCCAGATCCTTTCTGCCTTATTCTTAGCCATGTCAGGGTGGTTCCTTGTCACCCTTCATCCAAAGGCCCATTTTGCATTCGCATTGAGCAGCCTGGAGGACAGCAGTGGACTTTATGTCCAGTATACTAAAGTAATCAGATAGCTTATAACTGAATCAGTGTGTAATTTATGTACTGATTACCAGCCCAAGAAGTTCAGTAAGTATTTTGCATAGCTTGTGAACTTCGCACATTTGTAGGTATTTCACTTTAAGATTCATATTTCTGGCCATTCTTAAACACTGAAAACTGAGACCTTATGTCCATTTTTTCTTCATTTTTCTTCTTATTTTTTTAAAATACAGATTCTTCCTGTGTAATTCAGGCTGCTCTTGAGCTCACTATGTAGCCCAGATTGGCCTCAAATTCACAACAATCTTCCTGCCTCAACCTCCCAAATGCTAGGACTACAAGTGTACTACCGCATCTAGCATATATTTCTATTTAATGTTAATATGCTGGAATTGATGAACAGCCATTAGAAAGTCACATGCAATAAAATGAGGAAATGAGGATCCTGACTACACTGTCAGGAACCTCATAATTATGTGCTCTCTCTCTACCCAAGAAGGGGAGAATGTGATGGTCTCCCCCATACCAATAGATGTATGTCCAAAGCAAAGACAAAATGCAGAAATAGCACATTTTTAAAAGTTGTCTTTAATGCATCTGAGTAATATATAACAATGATTTGGTATCTTGGCATATGCATACCCTATACACTATTCAACACTGTAAACGTAGTTTTCTGCACATTAAAGAAAGTCTCAAGAATGAGGACTCAGCATGCATGCAGAAACTTGATGGAGAAAGAGCCTATAAAAATGCCCAACTCTTTTGTTTTGATGATGCCAGAGGATGGTGTTTCTTGGTGACAGTCCATTTATGGTGCAAGTATCAGATCTTATTGTGCTAGATGTGAGTTTTGCAGTCTGGCCCTGCAGGTGTTTGGAGCTGGGTTATTCTTGGCTTCCCTGAGCATTGCACGTGCTCAGCAGCATTCCTGGCCTCTACCCTCGGTTCCAGCAGCTCCTCTCTGCCTCATCTCCCAGCGTGGCCCCCAAACTGTCTCCTGGCATCACAAGATATCCCCGCAGCGACAGGATTGACACCAGCTAGGAACCACTGGCTTAACCACAAATCAAAATAGCAAAAAGTATGACAGTTTCAACTGACCTTTTCCTGTGGCTCTACGGCAGCCTTCATTTCATGTTTAAACAGCTCGAACATGACAGCCGAGTTTGGAAAGCAGCTTCTGTTAGCATCGATAGTCTCTTCCCTTACTTCAGATTAAATTGTGCCGCTTCAGATGTTTCCAGTCATAGCTGATGATCACACTTGACATCAAGGCCTAGTTTGTTAGATTAAGTAAAATACAGCTTAAATATGGTTCAGCGGTGACAAAAAAGAAAGCGTTTATTATTGGGGTATGTAAATTACGGAGGATCTGCAGGTAGAAGGCAGGCAGCCGCTGCTGTTTTGGAGTGAAGTTTGACTGCATAGTAATCTGGCTTTGTTCAGCATTAATGCCTCAAGTGCAAAATGTGTCTAATCCTGTTCAAGTCAGTATTCATCACCGATGAGATTAAAGATTAACTAAAGAAAGAAGGTGAAAAGAATGTTCTATCCAATCTTTCTGCCTTTGAATTTAAACAAATTGGTTTGGTTGTCAGTGTGCTAAGCAAGACTCTGTGGAAACCTCAGGTTTCTCCTTAAAGGGATTGGTGGCGGTGGGTTGGGAAGGGAGCAAGGACATTATTCCTTCCTTTACAACTCTTCTGAAGGGATTCAGGAGAAAGGATTGTCACCTAATGCTCAGCAGGATTCCACGTGGCGTTATGCCCCTGGGTCCAGGCTGACTGTGGTGTCTGCCCTGCCCACCTCATAAGAAAAGCTGTGTTTTCTTCCTCCTGAAACCTCCCTGGTAACCATACCTGATTGGACGAGTAGTAGAAATGTGACCCAAGAACATCCAATTCCTGGCAACGATAGGACTTTTTGTGCTAATGAAAGATGACCTAGGATAAAAGTATTTACTCTTGGGAATTTATCCTCAGGAATATGTAATAGAAATTATAGTGAATAAATTACATAAAGAGTTACATAAACAAGTGAGCCATGAGGTAGCCAATGTCAAAGGTACACTCAGATGGATGACATTATATGGAGCTGAAGTGCCAATAAGAAAACTAAAAATTAGAAAAAACATTTTCAGGGTAGAAGAAAATAGTAAGTCTCATTTTGACTAGCTGTTTGAGATAAAGAAAAACTAGTCTTAAGTTTCTGCCTTTCTCTTTTCATTAGAATTATTGTAAGAAGTGCGGTAAAAGATACCATTGACAGATAAGTTTGTCAACTAAGGAATCAGGCAGTTCAAGTTTGACCAAAGTTTGTCCACCAAATAGCCAAAGGTTCGTAGATAAACCACTTGCAAAACTCTTGGTGGTTTCTCTCTCCTCAGAATCTGGAGAGCATAAAGTCTTCCCCATTGGGCAAATCTTTAAGAATGCTCACTGTACTAATCAGCCTTCCCACTGGTGGACACAGTAGCCAATGCCCATAACTCAAAGGAAGAGAGGTTTAATTTGGCTCTTGGCTTAAGAGCTTTGTTCTATGATCAGCTGGGTCCTGTGCAGAAGTGTCCTGGCAGAAGGGTGTGATGTTTGTAAAGGTCAGGAAGCAGAGTGGAGGAGCAGTGCCAGAGAGGAAAGAGTGAGGGACCAGTCATAGTCCTCAACTACCTGTTAGTGGCCCACCCAGAGGATCCCTGGACCCTGCTCCATCAGTCCCTGGACCAATCAGCCTGACACTCCACACTCTCCTTTCATTTCCAAGTCCCTTACAGTTTTCTAGGTCCTTCCATGTCCTAGCTGCCTTTCTAGTTCTGAGTATGTTTAGAAAATCCTTAACCTTCAGTAAATCACTGTCTGACAATTTAACCCCTACTACAAGGTTTTGAGGAAAATTTTACTTTTTAGGACACCAATTTTTCAAAACTTCTCAGACCTCACACAACACGTCTTCATCTCTTCCAGCCTTGGCCATTCATTTTATTCCTAGATAATTGCTCAGGTCCTGACAGAATTATAGATTTCAAATATGTCTTTAAGACACAGATTTGCTATTTCCTCTTATTTTATATTCTTACTTGGAATTCAGTCTATGTTCTTTCTCTGAAGGCTCTCTACATACATGGTCTTCCATAAACTATTCCCTGAATGTGTTGCCCCATGTCTGTATTTTGTTTTGATCTCCCAGCATAGACCACTCAATTCTGATTTGGTAAAAAATCTGTGGTGTAATTTCTGTGCCTTGGAGTCAGTACCAAGTTTCTCCATGCTGCCTAGCACTGGACCTCAAACATTTTGCTCAATGAATAGCAGATGATTCTTCTGGAGGAGACCATAACTGTCAGTTTATAAGTCTCATTTGCAACATGGCTCAGCATTCCTAAGTCCTGATGGGTAAGTCCTCAGTCCTGAAAGAAGACCTGGGAGGCACAGGGCGGCATCCAAACCAGACTTCTGCAAAGATTTAAGAGCTTCAGTTTGGGAACATGCAGCTTGGGCCACATCACACAAGGTCCCTACCTGTGTCAACAACCTGTTTTTGATGCTTCAATGTGGATCTCTTTGCCCATGTGGTAAAGTACAAGAGCTAAGTTCCCCCAAACACCAGAATTATATCTCTAGGGCTCATTCTTTGGCAATCCAAGCCCTGTCCACCCTGGGGCTAACTTGTTTCTTACATCTCCTCCATCACTACCCCTCCCCTCCGATGTACTACCTTCTGTTGACGCCACACACACAGTTCCCTGCAGCTGTGTAAATGTGCCATGCAGCCCTGTATTGGAGAAATGCCTACAGCCTGCTCTGAAGACCATCTCTGTAGCACCCACAGAAAGGCTAGTGTGATGCAGTCAACAAAAGATATTTACTGCTCAACCTTGACCACCTCAGGTCAGCTTTGTACCAGGAAAGAATCTCTGTGTCTTAAGAGAGTTCGAGAACAGCCCTCACTGGATCCTCCTTTCACGTGGAGATTCCTGTCCTGCGAGAACTCATAAAACACAGCTGAGGGCAAAAGGAAAATAGGAGAAAGCAAAGGAGGAGGTGCTGCTGATGTTTGCCTCCCTCATGGCACACAGCAGGACAGGAAATAGAGACTTCCTGCCCGTGCAAGTGGCATGGTGCTTTCTTGTGGAAGTTTATCCACAGGCTTTATGAAGGACACACATACTCACATATAGTGAGCTCATCATATGTTGAATGAATTGGTTAAAACTGAGTTCTAGTAAATCAGAAAATTTTTGAAGAGTCAACAGAATTTTAAAATTCACCGTCATTTCCCAAAAGTACTGTCAGGTAGAATTGGCTTATCACCTCCCTTTTAATGTGCATATGTGGTTTCCTGCTTACAGAATTTCCCCAAGGGATGAGAAAACACTACAACTAGGGAAATTTTACAAGCAGGATTATCTGTAGTTCCTGGATAAGAAGCCTGCTCCCTCTGCAAGCACACCTGCAACTCCTAATAACCGATTTATGCAATTTTCCTCTCGACTTGAATCAAAATTGGCAATAAATGTTGCATGTGGCTCAAAAAGTGTATTTAAAAAAACATAATGTCTTGTGTTTGCAACTGATGCATGCCACTGGTTCCCTGCAGTTTACCAGCACAGAGGGGTGGGTTTGCAGGGAGCAATTAGGGAAAAGATAGCCAGAGAAACACAGTCTGCTGGAAAAAGAAATCTGAGTGTCTGGCTCTCTCGATGAATTATGACTATTCAAAGGAGAGAAAAATCTGAACTTTTGCCAAGAAGGCGAGTGTGTGAAGGGACAGCTGGGGTTTTGTCAGGGGTTACAATACCGTGCTTGTTCCATGAAGAAAGGACAGAATCACTTAACTTAGCGGCTCACACATCGCCAGAGATACTAGCCTGTCACTGCCTTGTGAAGCACTTTCTTCAAAGGCAAAGAGCTGGGCATATCAGGAAGGTTAGTGACAAGGCTCTGGGCACAGGCCTGCTGACCCTCCCGGTGGAGGATTTGGGGCTGGGTGGAGTGTGGACCCAGACTCTAACAGCATTTTCATGGCACCACAGCTTCCCTACAGGGTACATCGTTTCGACTGCCAACCGTCATCCATGTTCCCTGGGGGAGGCAGGACATTTAACTAAATAAAAGAAAACCCCACTTTATTTCTCTTTGGTTGCGATGTACATAACATCTTTTAACAAGAATGTGAGCAAGCACATAAGTGTTGTGCAAAGCTGGAACTCTAAAATCTGAACGCTTCAAGTATCAAAGTATAGAAGAATGGGGATGGAGCCATAAACACACTGAAAACTTTATGCAGGGACCAGGGCTCTTTCCGCACCATGGTGTGTCCTGAATCTGTGTTCTCAGAAGATCTGTTTACTCACCAGCCCTGTAAACACCATCAACCAGTGCCAGAGCCTTTGTACCTGGATCCCATGCCAACTCCCAGAGACAGCTGCATCTCCTAACTCAAAACTCTAGCTTTTGCAAGACCGACTGGGCAAATCAGTTTCAGTGATCTGTGGTCTGCTCACCATGTGCAATTGGAGTTTGTTTTACAGACGTCTCAATTCAGTGGAAGTATTGGGCTCTGTCTTGGTGGTTGAGCATCTCAGAGCATTTTTATTTATACATTGATTTTATATTTGATTTGTCCTAGAAAGACACATATTCAAATCGATATGCATGATGGTCACAGATGTGACACTGCTTATCTAGTCTGGGACTTGGTGCATACAAGGAAGAAGGGAAAAGCAAAAGGGAACATGTTTCAGGTCACAGTGAGAGCCTTCCAGAGGAGAGTAGGCTTGGTGTCCTTAACGGGCCGGGAGGGGAACTCAATGCCAATGCTGGGGTCCTCCCAGACACAGCCAGCTCTGAAGCTCTGGAGCTGTCCAAAATAAGAGTGATCCCAAACTTTAGAGGCTTCGAGCAGGTTCCTTACTGGCCATTAAACAACTCTCGACTGTTTTTTAGATGTTTAACATTTATGTTCAGACTGAACTACGAGGATATAACTATATGACCTAAAAAGTATTTTCCAAACAGAAAGGTCCCAGGTAGCAGAAGAATTTACTGTATTTAAAATGTCTGATGCCAGGTGTGCTGACTAAAAGGAATTTGATTTTGCCAGGGTTTAATGAAATGATTGGATGTTCACACTAGCAATAAAAGACCTGAAAGGAAATGAGAAGAGCTCACGTTGTGTTTACTACTCCATATGCTTGGATCACATATTCATGTCCCAGAAAAGAGCCCGTTACCATTTCTACTGAACAGGTCACCTTCTGCTTCACTCTTCAGGGTATCATCCTTTACCACCCTGCTAACTGCAAGCATCTGTTGAGTATTTTTGTCATTGAGCTTTGACTTTTGTTCATGTTCTACCCTATCACGTCTTATGCAAAAGTGCGTGTTTCCTAGAATGGATTTCTATGATCTTTAAATCATATCGCAGAGTAACAAAAAGGAAGTACTTACCAGTTGATCTAAAAACTATGCAGTTCACAACTGCAGTTGTTGCTATCCTTGTTTCAGTTTTTAGAGTGCAAAATGCACACCAATACAGCTTACCCCCTGCACCTTTTTCCTTTACAATTTGGCAGTGTGATGTGTGCACTCACAGTGTTTTGCAACCAGTCTTGAATGCTTTTCTTCTTAAAAGGCCTGAAGCTCTCAGGCCATCACATGGCTTCCCGGAGCTCTCCTGCCTGCCTTCATTCTACCTCTATTTCCATGAATCTGTTTATCGGAGATGCCCCCTTCCGTGCCCCCAGAAGTGGAATCATATGGTGTTTGGCTTTTTGAAGTGGTCTTGGCACAGTGTCTGAAGGGTCATCTATACTGTAGCATCTGTCAGAACTTCTTTCCTTTTTAAGACCAAATAAATATCCCATGGCGTGTGGATGCCACGGTGTGTCTTTCCGTCATTCACTGATGAACACTTAGATTGCCTGCACCTTTTGGTTATTGTGAATAATGCTGATGTGAATGTAAATATTCGAATATTTTTCCAAGACATTGTTTTTTATTTTCTTGGATGGCCCTAAATGTGGAATTGCTGAATCGTGTAGTAATTCTGTTTCTTGGTTTTGAGGCACCACCATCCTGTCTTCCACAGCAGCTATGCTTTTATTTTCCCATCAATGATCCACAAGGGGTCCAGTCCCTCCATATGCTCACCAAGGTGTGTTATTTTCTGGTTTTTTTTTTTTTGAGAGTGACAATTATAATGAGCATGAAGTGGTATTTCACAATGATTTTGATTTGCACCCCTATGATAAGTGATGTTGATCATCTTTTCATCTATGAACCATTTGTATGTCTTTTTTGGTGAAACATTTACGCAGATCATTTGCTCACATTACAATCCAGTTAGTTAGTGGTTCTGGTGCTGTTGAGTTATCTGAGTTCCTTGTATATTCCAGAAAGTAATCTCTCATCTGATTTGTGATTTACGTGCATTTTCTCCCGTTCTCCAGGTTGCCTTTCGCTGTGTGGTTTCTGTTCCGGATTCACAGGTTCACATTTGCTGTCCACAGCCTCATTTCTGCAGGTGAGACATGCACATTGTACGCAGATCAACAAGAGTGTGACTTGCAGAGCTGATGTTGGTGCCACTTGGCTTTGAGAGCAGTTTCTGCTACAGTTTCATCTGTCCAGGCTTCACACAGTGATGCCTTTTTCCTTTCAGAGGGTTCAGTGGCTGAAATTACAATTATGTGTATGCAGAGAGCAGTAACTTTTGTGCAATCAAATTTATGCTGCTCATTTCTTTCTGTAAAAGACAAAAGCAGTTTTTATTACCACATCGTTACTCTCTTCTGAACGTAATAATAAAAGAGAGAAAATTATGCTCTTAAGATAATTATAAATCTATACATTCAAAACTAACAGAGAAAAGCAATGGATACCATTCCTCTCGGGAAGGACAATGCGCAAAATCTGCCATTCTGTGAGATGGCAGCAAAATCTGCCAATCTTTGATCTCTGCTGAGACTAAACAGGAGTTTCTTTGTGCTCCCCTAGAAGCCCTGCATGCTGAGAAGCTGGAGAAAGGATTGAGGAAGCTTGTGTGTTTGTGCTGTGTGGAACTCAGCCACCCTCAGCACCACTGCAGATCTCTGGTGCAAAGCATGGTGGACGAGAACCACAAAGTGCAACCAGAAAATGCAAACATCTGTCATTCTCTTCAAATCACTTTCACTGGAACTTGCTTTTGCTCTTTTCCTCTACTCTGTTGTGACATGTGTTGAAGTAGTAAATCTCTAACATGGAGCATATTATTGTTCTTGGTTCAAAGTTAGACTGTGAAGAAGTCTTTTCTTCCATTCCCCCAAGGAAATCCAACAGCGACTAACGGGTAAAGTTTAAGGGCCATAAACACCTGCCCTGCTCTCGGCCTTTCTTAGAAGATATGTTGTGCTCTCTGGATCTGAACTCGGCCCCATAGAGCGTTCAAGTCCTCGAGCTTCCCTCAGACTTTGCTGACCTCTGTCACTTCTCATTCCCAGCTCTCTGGAAGCAAGTGCGCTCCTGTCCGTGACTGTGGACATGTTCCCGCTCCCGTGTAGTTATTACAGGAGGCCTTCACGGGTCTTCCTACCAATATTTGACTATTGACAGAAAGTAAAAGTGGGTGTATTAAATTCATATTTTCTTTTTTATTTCTCTTTTGTTCTTTCTTTTTGGTTACTTTGATACTTACATTGCTTTATTTTATGTGAGAATAAACTTTACATTAAATTTAAAGGAAAGAGAAATATAAAAGAGGATGATCCAAAGAAGATAACTAATGGTAGGTAAGGAAAGGAAAAAGTACAAGCAATGTTAATAATATTATTGTAATTTTGAAACCCACATTTTTAAACGGGTCCTCAACTACCTCCCTGCTGCCCTGTGAGTTACACTGTACAAGTCCTATAGTGTGCACATAATATATGTGCGTTATTTAGTCAGCATGTGACTTCAGAAACATGGACTAACTGGCATCCAAACTGAAGGAGTCATTGAGGAAACCTCATCTCACCAACTCCAGTGCTTTCAAGCAAAGAAACCCCACTTGGAAATGGTTTGCCCGAGTTTTCCTTGACTATTATCAGAAATGAAATGAGAACCCAGTCTGTGTTGAGACTTCGCACACAGAGGTAAACAAAATGCTGACACCGAAGCAACTCAAAGCTAACTGAGACCACGCCCGCACATGACACGCCACAATGTGGAGAGTGCCCTTGCCCTTGTGCGACACAATCCAACAGTCTCAGGGGCCCTGGGAAAGGAACCAGGAAGAAAAGGTTTAGCCTCTGCTACCCTAGGCAAATCTCTTTACATTTCTGGTCTTTAGTTTCCTCTTCCATAACTTTAAGCATTGGACAGAGGACATCTAAAGTCCTTCTAGATCTCAACATAGTTCTCTAAGGTTATCCTTAGATGCGCCCTGGAGCACTGTTCCCAGAGCAAGGCCGGCCTGGAAGCCCTCAGTGGCATAGAGCTTGCTGCCTCAGCACGCAGTCGGCTTGGGTGACCAGCAGAGGTTTGGAAAGGATTTTGTTTATTCACATTGCATCACGCAGATCTCCATTCCTTTTCTGTGTTTCTAATACTCATGTGTTTGATCCTCATACCCCAAGAGTTGCTAAATGTCTCAAAAAGGGAGAGTTTTTTTTTTCTTTTTGTGTCTTCTCTTTTGATTTTGAACAGAGATAAAAGCAACTTCCTAAGTTAGTAGAGTGGCTGTACCTCAGAACTGCACTGAGCTTTGTAGTCAGTCTGGTCTCTCTTCTCCGGCTCTGATGGTCTCAAAAGCAAGCCTTAAATGTGTCCAGCATGCAGCCCACTCCACAACTCTGTGGAAGGAATACCAAAAATAAGCTTGATTTATTAAAGAACAGAAGAAGAAAAACAGATGTAAGGCTCTTGTAAACAGTGGAAAATGATCTGCAGATGGATAGATAGAAGGACGGATCGATGGCTATGTGAACTGACTTACTTTTAACTAAGGAAGGCAAGAATGTATCCTGTTTTGCCTAAGATAGTCTGTTACCACAAAGTAATTATTATTGGCGACTTAGTTCATTCAGATGCCCTTGGTGGGGCATGAAATAACATAGCCATCCCGGAAAATAAGTCACACAACAGAGAGAAAGTTGTCCTTGTACCAGAAGCATGGGGGACAGCTCTTTTCAGTGTTCCCTTTCAAGGTCTTCACCTTGATTTCAAAATTCAAGAGCACTGTCCCCCTGCACGCCCCCTGTGACCATCTTTAATGTCCCACCTCAGTGACTTTTGGGCCACCAGGAGACAGCTGTTGGATCCTACAGTCACCTGATGGCATCTCGTCTGTGCCCATATGAGAGGCAGTGGCATGGGGAGGAGAAAGGTTGCTAACACATGTTTACTCTCCATAGCTTAAGAACGGGCTGGCTCTTAACCTTGCCTGTATGGACAGAAATCTAGGCTCTGTGTAAAAAGAGATGGGAAGGGTGTGGCACATGATCACTGAACATGCATCACACACCAACACTAACTGGAAGAGACAGTTCTATTCCCATAGACAAGACATTAAAAGGCTTGTCTGTAGGCAAAAGAGCAGACTGCCAACCCGCTCTATGTTTTCATGAACACGAGCCACAGGAAATTTTCACGTATTTCTCAAATCTCCCAGGTGGGCTGGGGAAGGTCAGGTTGACACAGAGACACATAAGAGCTGTCTGCTGTCCGATCCCAGGTGCATCCAGGGGCACGGATGGGAGGGGATGGCCAGCCATGGGAGGCAGCCCCTTTTCTTTAACCTAATGGTTAGGTCGAGTTTTGATCTTTCAGAAGGAAACCAGGCAGATTTATTTTTGCTCTATAACAAATGGAATTGCTGGAAGTAGGCAGACACCCCTGCCTTAGACAAAATCATGAGCATTGCATTTACAGGCAGAGCAGCAGGGAGGACGTGGTCCTGGCTGTGTGCATGGGAGTAACTGTGTGGGTTCTGTTCCTTTTTGTCTGCAGAAAGTTCTAAGTGCAAATTCATAGCAACCCTCTCACCTGCTAGAAAAGCTTTTGAGATTTGAAACTTTGCTGAAGTGTCTTAAAACCTCCCAAAGCAGCATCACCAGAGTTAAATAAGTAATTCAGCTGTTCCTAAGACAAGAAATATTCGCACTGTAATCAGTGGTATTAATACTTAAGTAAATTAAAACGGAGCCATTTGTTATGAAAATATCTCAGAATTGGTGTATTGAAGAACAAAAGACCTGGCTTTCTGGAAACACTAATACTCTTATACCTGGCATGTTTATATCTATATTTTTTGATGGAGATTTGTCACCAATGAAAATCCCTAAAGCCGTATCTCTCTCCAGTGTTCCTTTGATGGTTTTTGGGTAAAGTTGCCTTCCCGTGCCCAACTGCCATGTCAGCCAACCTAGTCACATCCTTACAGGTCATAGGGGAGCAAGCCTGAGCTAAACCATATCCCTAAACCACTCATGATTATTTATTTTCCCAATGAGCTCAAGGAAAATTTTACTAATTCATCTAATGCGATTAAGTGAATCAACTAGGAAGCCACAGTGATTGGTGCATATACCACTGATGTTGTAGTGGCAATTAAATTTCATGGAGTGCAAAGATTGCTTTTTGCCTAAAAATATTTGTTTTCTTACGTCTTTTTTTCTATTTTAAAGAGAATAAAACAAAAGAGAACAGAGCAAAGTAAATCAGAACAGAACAATGCAAGCAACACAGCACTTCACAACAAGACAACTGGATATCAACAGTAGCTACCATAGTGTCTCTTTTCTGTGAAACAGTTGAGTTACCTTCACACGCAATAATGTCAAATATAACAAAATAGTGTAAAACCATTCAAGAGAATGAAAGCATTACAGGACTTCAAAACCAAATAGCAGGAAATGAACAATGGCTACATAATGTCTCATTTTCCTTGAGAAACAGTTTGTCCAAGTTTTCCTTGACTGTTGTCAGAAATGAAATGAGAACTCGTGACCTAGTCCATGTTGAGACTTGGCACACAGAGGTAACCAAAATGATGACACTGAATGAATTCAAAGTGTAACACAGACCTGGCTTGAAAAATTTGTTTATACTATTACACATATTAAAATCTAATAAGACACAACAGGGTAGAACCAATGGAAATAGAAGAACAAAAGCATGGTAGGACTGCAGAGCAAGATGATAGAAAATCAGCAATCGCTGCCATAGTGTCTTGTTTTCTTAAAGTAGCTGTTCATACCATCACACATAATAAAATCAAGTAAAACAGAATAAAATCATTCCATCCAATGAATGAAACATTATAAGGCTTCAAAGAAATGTAATGGGAAACCAGGATTACCATAAAATATTATGTGCTCTTACCATTTCTTACACTAGGGAGACTATAAGGTATTTACCCATCTGAGTTTGATTTATTTCACTTATGAGTATGTTCTCAAATTACATCCATTTATTTATAAATATCTCAATGTGATCATTCTTTATAGCTAAGTAGTATGCCATTGTATAAAAATATCACATCTTTTTTATCCATTCTTCAGCTGATGGGCACATAGGTTATTTCCAAGATCTGGCTATTACAAATTGTGCTGCTATAAACATGGGTGCACATATATCACTGTGGTATGATGCTTTCAGTTCTTCTGGGAATATGCTCAGAAGTGGAATAGCTGGGTCAAACGGGACCTCTAATCCCAGGTTTTTGAGAAACTTCCAGACTGACTTCCACAGTGGCTGCGCCAGTCTACAC